GGAGGGAGGGAGGGAGGGAGGGATGAATGGATGGATGGGTGGGTGGATGGATAAATAGATGGATGAGAGAGCATTGGATGGATGGGTTGATGGATGGATGGGTTGATGGATGGATGGATAGGCCAAGGGGTAGGTAGATGGTCAAATGAGTGATCATGCGAGGATGGACCAATGGACAGTGGTATGGATGTGTAGATAGATTGGTATGTGGTGGATATACATGGATGGATACATGTAGATATGTGTTATGGTGGGTTGGTGGCCATGGAGGCATGAATGCAAGCCAATAAAGTAAGATTCAGTGAATAATAAAGAAGGATAACTCAAAGAGCATTGCTTACAAGAAAGTCATTTGTTTTTGCCCAGAGACTTTTGATAGCTTCTCTTCTCATGGCAAGATGAGGGATTTCACTAAGAGTGTAAGAAGCTATAACAACATCATATGTCACCTGTCAATCAAAACAAACAAAATTAGAGAACTTTGCATCTAGATTATCAAATTCAATTAATCTAGCTGCACATGGCATAAAGTAATAACTGCTCATTTTCTTACACCTCTCAAACACACTTTAGTAGTTATTTACCTGTCTAGGTGCAATCCTTACCACTCTTTTCAATCACTGCTACATGCTGATCAAGACAACAGTCACAACATGAAATTAGGGCAATACACTGCCACCAATCAGAGAATATAAAGGTACCAACCAATTTATTTGATTGAGGAAAGTGTATGCCCAATTTCCCTGTCGCGACTGTTGTTTTGATTAGTGCATACAACAAAAAGAGTGGTAATTACATTATTAGGCTGCTTTGTTAAATGGTATTAATAATGCTACTTATACATGATAAATTTACCTTGTTTGAAACTGGTAGAAACCTTTTGTAATACACATGAGGTATGTGAAGTGGTTTTTTGTAGCTTTCTCCACCTAGAAAAAAATGCCAATCACAAAATAATACATAACAGGATATTAAACAGACATCTTTTTGATTGACCTTGCATTAATACAGGGTGTCTGCTTAATAGAAGTTCATTTTACAGGTAAATATGAGGCAGAAATTAGGTACTGTGCAACTAGCTGTCAGTTTAATGAAGAGTACATCTGCTTATTGGATGGCTTGATGAGGTGTATCACTGTATTAACATGCACCTGGCAGGTATAAAACTAGTACGGACTGTTTTAGTTTAATGTGAAGATAACCTACAGTATAACAATGTCAAATGAATGCTGAACACTTAATTGGTAGAGGAAAAAGATGATTCAGAGCTACCTTACTGATGTTTTGTAGCCCTTCATCAGAAAGTATTATTCTTCACCTAGACATTAATTTATCATTTTGAACATTTATTATGATAAAAGAGTATTAGACTCTTAATATAACAAAATCATAACAAGTACCTCTTAGAAGAAACTCTGATAAAGTGTTCATGGGTTCTGATACATCAATACATTGATATTCTTTAATAGAGTCTCCCCATTTCTCATGTGCAGCCCTGAAACATTTAGTAGATAGTAAAATTAATAAAGTGCTTCTTACAGTAACATTAAATTTCAAATTAAGATATCCTGGCTGACGACTGATACAGTACCCTCCCTGGCAGCAACCTCTGGGCTAATCTAAGGCAAGACATGGCTTTAGGAATCATAGATCAAACCCTGAAACAACCTCTGGGCTGATCAAAGTCAGGGCATTGCTAACTCACAGATCTAACCCTGGAACAGCCTCTGGGCTGATCAAAGTCAGGGCACAGCTAGTTTGGAGAACATGGAGATATAATACCCCTATAATCAAAGGATCATTCCAAGTCAATGCAGGAATCCAACCTAGCTGTGACCCCAGAGGTGAGAGGTAATAAATGCACTACCACTAATTGTAAGCCGCCCTTGATTCCAAAGAATGTGTTCATTTATAATTGCAACTACAATTTATCAATTTTGTAGTATTTATTTCATTTCCACTTACCATAAAACTGTTCCAGTTCCAGAGCCAAAGTCCATAAGAGTTTCAGGCTTGTAATCAGGTTCTCTTCTTGAGATCTATGGGAGAATGACCATCGCAGCTTAGGCTCAGAAACTTTAACATAACACAATAAGAAATGTACACAATCAGGTTTTTAAAGATGATTTATTACCTCATGAATAACCCTGAGAGTTGCTCCATAACTGGCTGGAATACGACTGGCACCAAAAGCTGTACTCTCTCTTACATCATACCTGAAGTGAGAAAAACAGCAATAGATCAAAAGTGAACCAGAGAATAAAATTGCACTAAAACAGTATGCCACATAACACTCTAACCCTTAAGTACCATAAATAAACAGTGAGGTGTTGTATATCAGGCATTTTTGAATTCAGTTTTCCATGTAAAAAACACTTTTAAATTTTTTAATACTTTAATTTTTTTATTTATAATAAAAATTTGTGAAAAATATTGATTACCTGATTACTTTATACTCTTCATTTCTTGGCTTTTTTGTATTAAGAATCATTCTCTTTTCTGAAACTTGTTCAGCAGAAGTGTCTTCATCACCCTGATTATCCTCGTCTGATGCTAGATTTTTATTCTGTACTTCAGCATCATCTTCATCTAAGTCATATTCATCACCTGCTATAGTAACTTGACTGTTTTCTTGCTCTGATTTTAGCTTCATAATCTCATCTATGTTAGCAGCTGAATCTAAAAAATAAGACACACTCTAGAATTGCTACATGCTATTCACAAACCCCTAAATGTGGTAATTATATTTATGCAATAGCGCAGCGCAGTCGTGATGTCATAAAAATGAAGACAAAGGAGAAATTTGGACAAACAAACTTACAAGTTTACTTTCAGCAGATAATTTTCACAGCCGATTGCAGTTGATCTTAGATTACATGGGTTATTATTGTAACTTTAAGTAAATATAATAAAATCGGTTCGTATAATCCTTGTAGCGGTTAAACAGAATGCAATGTTTGTCYGAATCTWTAAGCTATTTTTAGAATCAGTGYGCTGTGCTATTCATTGGTACTGAAGTTCACTACATCATAACAGATCATTGGTGCAATTTGTGGTATGTGTTAACTAGATCATCCTGGATCTTAAGGTTATGTACAATGTATAAAAGTTCAGTCTGGGCTCACCTTTTAGCCTCTTAGATGCTTTACTTTCTTTATATTTTTTCCAAGTCATCTCAGTTGGTCTTCCCCTGTTCCTCAAGTGTTTACTGAGTTTACGGCCATCATTTTCAAGCATCTTCCTTGGATACCCTATGAATATCGATCACAAAAAATCTTTTTTTTATTATCTTTTTATAGATTTTATGTTTTTAGGATTTGACCTCTTGCTTCATGGGATTGTGTGAGATGAGATCACTTTAGGAGAGTCAAAAATTATTCTTTTAGAATATAAGAATCATGCATGACTAGAGCCCAGGACCTGGAAGGGGGGTTGACAATAATCAATAACATTCCTACGGAGGAAAAAGAAACTTGTCATTGCTAATCACCACAGCAAGTACAGCAGTGGAAGGCATGAAAGCATGTGAAGGCTATACAGTCCATGTATGACCCTGGAGCACAACTCTATACAGTATGGATTAGTTAGGGTTGATCTTAAAGGAGGGAGGAAAAACCGGAAGACCAGAAAAACCAACTTAGCTCACATGGGGCAACTGCGATTCAAACCCTGGACCTTAGAGGTGAGAGGCAAGCATTTTACTTCATGTTGATGTAGTATTGTGATAACAACAATAAGAGCTGAGGATGGGGGTAGNGGGCGGGGTCAGACATTGAACAACATAACAAACAACATATCAAAAATAATTTAAAAACTTGCAGCATAAGTTTCTAAAGGTTTTTTTTGACCTCCCTTTGCAAAATACCAACTGTCAGATGGGAAGCTCATTTTGGACTTACTCTTCAGGTACTCTTTAAGATTGGTATCCAGTTGTTTAGGTAAGTGAATCGTAGGAAGGTGAAATAACCCAGGAGCATTCTTGTCTTTCTTGCTGAACTGGTCCATACCATACGCATACTTCTCAAACTTAACATTATCTTCTCTGTCTCCACCCCCTCCCCCTGCGGTGTCAATGTTGCTCTTTGAAGGACTTACATTGCTAAATATCTGTGAAAACATGTTATTCAAAATTATTAGCAACGTTCTTGCATTGACTTAAATGATATTTACAACGATCGAATGATAAGTGAATCCTAAAGATTGTTTTTCAAACAGTTTTCGTGGTAAAATTTGGTTGCAGAATAATCCTATTTTACAATTATTTTTCTTACCCTTATGTGCTGTTTAGTAGCCTGAAAACTTAACTGAAGCACTAAACATCTCTTACAGCTCAAAATTCGCGTCTTCCACAATAAATTAGCGCTCATAATTCCAAGTTACAAGACTGTCTTGTTGCTACACACAAACATGAGTTTTTCTTCTTCTTCGAGCGTCCGCCATCTTGGATGTGTGAAGCGAAGAAACTAGGTCGAGTTAGGACGATGAAACAGGAAGCCCAACGACCATTTGCTGTGGTATCTCAGTGACCCAAGTATTTTACAGTATTGGGCAGATTGGTTTTCCGGAAGGAGAAAAACCAGATAACCTGATTCAGGAGTATCCCTTACTTAATTTATTCCTAATCGCCGGTAAATTGACTAAATCACTAATTTACTAAATTACAAATGTTCTGTTCTTGTATGACAACCTTCTTGAAAGTAGGTGTACCTATTTTACTTGCCCTTTTAGAATTTGATAATTTGATAGTTTTTGCCTCAAAATCCAAAATTGCGGAAATTAATGGTGCTGGAATGATTCAAATGAACAAGGCTAAGCAAAGATTAATCGATCTGCGTTAGTTTTTCTGATTAATGATTAAAAAAATAGCTACGGGAAGAGAGGAATCTTAAAAGTCACGCGGCACAATACGAAAACGACTTGCAGTAACTTTTCTTTTCTTTTTTTCTTCTTTGAAAACGAGACTAACTAAGAAACATAATTTGTATTGATAGGAAGGTATGACTTTTTTTAACGTCAAGGGTATTTATTAAGTAGGGACTATGAAGATTTTGAAATATAGATTTCTTTTTTAACAAAGTTTATTTTATATTACACAAAATATTTAGATATAGAAGGCTGTTAGTGAGGTAAGCCATCTTCATTCAGCAAATGTTCATCACTGTCCATGGCAATCATACTTGGTCCATTACCGACCTAAAAAACAAGTCGAAATGAAGAAGTCAGCGAAACGACCAGTGTATCTGTCTCTTATAAGAATGGTAAGCATGAGAGTGCGCTGATATTATCATTCATAATCGAAACTACGAATAGCTTACTTTAGCAGGGAAAAATTACTAGGCTAGTGATTTCCCCCCTTACTTTAGTCAAATCCAACTAGCGGTCTATCATCAATGCTGCATTCTGACTGGATGAGATATAGCCTACTAGTAACAAAATGTGCCGGCTTTGAACACCAAAACATTAAATTTAACTTCTTAATTTAAAGCTTGTATGCATCTACAAGAGTTCTTCTATGGTCTTACCTTTGTACTTATGATGTATTTGATAGAAGACGGAACCGGATACATTGCCATCGATTCTAGAAGATCCTGAAAAAAAAATCGCACAATTATTAGCGTCCATTTTTATGATTACATCGTGACCCAAGCAACTCTGACACCAAGAGTTAAGGTCACTAACCCCTCCTCTGTAAAGCAGAACAACAGTAAGAACGATAGCCCGAAAAAGATTATAAGGCTCTTAACACGACGGTCGCTAAACCTGTCATTTCAGCATCGTCACCAAAGTCGTTTTTCATATGAGAAGGAAACATTCGTTACTGAATTAGAGAGCGTGCAAGATACAAGGCCTAGACCTGTACGCAAGGGCAAAGTGCAGTGCAGCTGGTTATTTTGCGTATTGTTTTCCACTCATACGAAAAGCGTTTTAACATTTTGAATCGTGTCAAGGCGTGATGACGTAAACGTACTTTTGACAATTTTGGTATTTCTTGAATTGGAATTCCCTTGATAAACCTGATGAGATAAGAAAAATGGTGTTACAACCAATGGTGTTACAACCACTCATACACTGTAACTATTATCAGCTCAGGCAAAATCTTTTTTTAATCGAGGAATCTGAAACACATACTACTTAGCCTCTAACAATGCTATGACTAGTAGTCTTGTTCCATTCACAGGGGTCTTGATAGCCCAATTAAATTAAATTACTTGCGGATGTTATTGTGATTCTCCTGCCACCTTTTAAAAATTTATTTCTATGCAATCTTGAAAATCAGGTGCTAAAGTGTATTGTTGTTGTTGTTGATAATGGTTCAGTCTGGCTGCCAATTCGATTATCCTTTAGTAACACTTTAATGTTTCTTGAAAAGTTGTATTATCTTAATTTGAAATTAGTAATAGTCTTACAAACCCTTTAGTGTCTAGTGGAGGGAAGAAGTGTTGGATTAATGCTGCCATTTCAGAAACGTCTTTCTCTTGTAGAAATAATACAGCATTTGGACCAGCATCAAAAGTATATGCTACCTACAAATAAACAAATTTGTAAAGCTTAACACTAGCTCTAAGAGTGATTTTTATGATAGGGATACGCATGGTACGGAATTTCAGCAGGCATAGGGAACATGCCATAACACTGAAATGGCTTCTTTTGTCTTCGTGTGAATCATCCAATCATGTTCCATAATTACAGCAATGGTAACATACAGTACTGCAATAGTACGACTGTCAACAGAATTGATCATCCATAAAGCTACTACTCCAGCCAGGGAAGTGTGCTTTATTTTCCAATACTAACCTTAGTATTTTTGTGATACTGATTGTAAGCTGTAACGAGTTGTATAATGCTATGTGAGGTAGTGCTCAAGTAGGGTGGTTCTATTGGAGGATATGTGTCTTGACAGACAGCATGGAACTGGTTACTCTCCTGATGGGTGAAAGAAAAACTCATTAACATGGATATCTGTCAAAAAAGTCCACAAACAAAACAATGATTCCGTCCCCTTTGGAGCCTAAAATAACCTCATGGCTGATCTAGGCCAAGTCATGGTTAACTTGTGGATCAAATTTCATGTTTATGTAGTTAAAATAAAAACTTGCCTTCATAGTTAATTCAGCAAAGGTTTCAAAATCCTTATGAATTATTGCTTCTTCCATATTTTTCATCCTCTGGGGTACACAGTATGTTGCTCTGAGCTTTAGAACAAATGAGTAAGGATAAACATACATTTTAGGTTGTGATGGCCACAGTTAGGTTTGAATAAATGTGGTATACACATGTTGAATGAGGAATTATCACAATGATCACTACGTGTACATGTATAACAGCAAGGGCTGTTCACCACATTTCACAAAGCTTCATCATTCTAACCTGTAGAAGTTCACTGGTTTGAACGCTTCTCTTCATTCCTTCTGTACTCGAAGTTGACTTTTTCTGGTCATTCACCTGAAATTGACATACATGTTCATTGTTAAGAAGTGATGAAGGGGTTTGCCTAATTGCTGTCCCCTGTTGCTAAAGGACTGCCTGTGCCATCCTCTGGCAATCCTATGGACATCTGTTGTATTTCCCCTTGTTCTCTGGGGTTCCCTAATCATCCCCTGTGTCCCACTGCCTTATAAAGCTGTGTCACAATGTCAGAACAAATTTAAAATACGCCCAGCCAAATGTCTTCTTGGTCCTATACTAGTCTTCTTGACTGCTCACATGTTGATCCATCTGATGTAGCTAGTTATTAACTCCCGCTATTGCATATCCATCATTTTTAGCCTCTTGACATAATCCAAATACACACACAAACTTACCACAAGAATGAGGATTCTCAATGATGGCCAATGTTCAGAGGGCATAATCTGTTTTGCTATGCTGTCTGTTCCATCTTCATGTTCGCCCTTTGACCAGACAACAAAACCACCATATATGCTGCGGCAAGCACTGCCAGATCCTTGCCTGTACAGCAAAAACACATCTTTATGGCTAATATTACCAATGTGCTAGGTTTAAAATTTTAACCGGCAGCCATTTTCTACATGTAGCTTATTAAACTCATTAAATAACTCATGAGGAAAACACAACAGAAATCACGACCGTGAAGAGTTTTGTAAATCAGATACAGAATCCTGTTCATTTGCATAAACTTCGAGATGGATTTTCTTGGCCAGATTCATCTACAGTATGAGTGGCAGTGTTGTATCCAATATACAAACTCTCAGCTACGCCTCGAGTTTGTATATCAGATACAACACGGCCACTCATACTGTATATATTACTTGTGTACCTTGGCAACCAACCCCTTCTAAATACTGGCAAAGTCTAAACAATCTAGCAATTCTGTAAGTGCAGACATTTGCCAAGATGAGGCAAATGGTATATACAGTGTATAGTAGTGGTAAATACTGTACAATTTCAGCTCTTTATCTAGGATGTTTGAGCATACAGACTTGACATCACCTTATTATACCAACCTTGCAAGGCCAGACAACTCACATTTAAGATGAAAAAGCTTGGAAAGTAAAAACACTGAGGAAAAAACAACTCAATTTAACAAGGAATAATGATGTTAAAGTGTAGTGCTATTTGATCAAACCATAAAATAATATACTCCTTGCAGCCAACTTCCAGTAAAGTTCAATTTGGAGACAAAAAACAATAATTTAGATAGGGCTTTTTTTTCAGGAGTTTTGTCTTTTAAATTGCCCTACATTGTGAATATGGTCTATATGACAATTATTAATTAGTGTGTCCAAGTTGTTGATATAAGGTTGGATGCTATATTTGGTGGATTCAGAGTACAGTAACATGTGTCAACAGACTGTAAGTCTACACACTATACACTAGTGTAGGGAGGTTGGGGCATGGGGAGTGGGGGTGGGNGGGGGGGGGGCATGTTACTCTTCCTAAATTTATGGTAATTAATAATTAATTACCATAAATTCAATTATTGACTGGATAAAGAAGATGTACGAATGTTTGTTTATTTTTATTTTTTACTTTTTTATTCTGTGTGTCACCCCAATTCCTGGGTCCTCCTACGCCCCCAAAGTCTATTACCATGAGTTGATTGATTGTATCATTATTATCAAACTATTAATAAAACATACCGAGACAAGCATGACCAGAGGCAGACGATGCAAGACCAGCAGCAGTAGGAAAATTGTTTTTAGATGCAATATGTAAATGACAGTCTTTGAGTTCCTGCCATCTCTGGGGTGACTCTAGCTGGCATTTGTCTCGAACTGATGGTCAAAGCAAAGCACATTTGAATTTTTTGGCAGATACGGGTTGCATCCACATGTGTCCGGAACTTTTTGTATCCGTATCCACAAATTTTCAAAAACGGTCTCCAGAGTGTAAATTTTCAAATATGCCCCGAATACGGATACGTGTGGACGGTGGTATCCGCAAATTTTCAAATATTATGACATAAATACGATTTGGCGCATGCTCAATAAGAAAAACTATCTGTCAAAGGTAGGGATCATGAAATTTCTGGATAAGTGTGGACAGTGAAAATGATTTGAAAACGATTCGAATACGCTGCGTGTGGACGCAAACATTTTCGTATCCGAAAAAAAAAATTTGCGGATACGTGTGGACGGGGCCTAAAACATCAAAAGATGCGAACCTCTGTTAGCTACTGCAACCTTGTATACATAAAGCATAGTGTACATTTCAATACCCACTTCTGAAAAGACAGTTTTGAATTCTTGGTGCATCTGCAATTGGCTGTTCCCTGAAGAGCAAAAAAAGAAAGAGCTTACGATGGGTTCTCATGGAAAGAAAAGAAAAAAACAATACTAAAGGTCAAACTAAATAAAAAGCTTATTACTGCTTTTATTGCTATATACTGATTGAGATAACAGTTGCACATGCAAATCTGGCAATAGAAAAGGTCTAGGTACTTTTAATCAAGTACATTGAAAAAGAACATAAAGGAATATGAGATCATGACAATTCAGTGCATGGAAAACTACTCTAATGACTTATTTGATTGGTGGTAGTCTATAATAATAATCATAACTTTAGTGGATTTATATGATTATTGGGAAAAAATAATCTTATAATGATATTACCTGATTTCCATGTCGCAACTGTTGTCTCAATCAGGGCATAGCAATGAAAACAGTGGTAAGGCTCATATAGACCCCTTGCAGCACTTTGCATAGGTCCCAATTCTCAGGAGATTGGAATTCTTTTGTTTTGTTTCTCAGATCGAGCTGCTTTGACGTCACATGCAAGGGGTCTATAAATCAAAGTAATTTATGCAAAGCATCTTGTATCTCAGGGATACATATATTTACTGGCCAGGAGGTCTGCATAGGGAAAAACTGTGCCCAAGGTCATGAATGCACAGACCAAAGTGAATAGGTTGAGGCCCGTTTTCAAGACAGAGGGCACAATATTTCCCAATCCAGACCAACTTCAGGGCCGTAAATAACATATTTATTTATTTATTTTGTGATCATGCAATCACAGGTGGATACTGAGAAAATACCACTCACTCAAAAAAACAATCAGAAATGCATGGTTTTTCAGGATAACGGACCGGGAAGGATGAGTTGCAATATGGCATGCACCATACATTTAACACAGGGTCTACAACATTTACCTTCCATTTATCCACAAAGAATCACATGGGAAATCAGGACTTGCTACAACAGTTGTTGTCGTACATAGCTAAAAAAGGTGAAATTATAGTGTTTGGAATAGTGAACAATACTATCTTTAGCATCATCATCATTATCATTAATATCACTGTAGTATTTATCAAATTTTACTGAAATTCTTAAGTGAACACGAAACAATATTTCCATGTTTAGTTTGAACTTGATGAAATTCAGTAAATGTTTAAAAGTATCAAACTCAACCTAGTAATGGAGCTCTTATAAAGTTTTAAAGTGGTTGTTCAAGCAAGTCAAGCTATAATGAAACCTCTTCAGGGTAAATTTTTCAGTATACTTATAGAATACCCTGCAAAAGCCATGACTTTTATTGTTGTATGCATCGTTCTACAAAGAGTTCCGACAACTGCATATCATTTGCAGGTATTCTATAATTGCTCCAATTTTTGATTAAGTTTAGGGATCAGAGAATGCTCTAGTAACTGAGCAAAATGTTCACTTGGTCCACAGGACTCTCCAGCAGTTCATGATCTTCTCTTATTATTTCAAAACTTAATGAAAACCCTGTCTTTTTAAATTCATGGTGAAAGGCCTGAGATAGAATACTCACCTCATCCTGATTCAATGTCACGCTTAAAGATGAATTCACTGGCAGGATTAGTTTCTCATCTCTCTTCCCCCCTGGAATTAAAGTCAGCTATATTAGATGGATTTCAATCAGCTGATAAAAGTTTATCAATATATTATCTACTTCAAATGTTGGTGAAATGCTCAACACACCATTTGCTGCCAGCCAGAAAGCCAAGAATGCAATCAAAAAACATAATCGTAGAAGTAAAGTAGTAGTAGTAGTAGTAAAACTTTATTTAGACACGATAATCTCTTCCTATAAACACATGCTCTTCCAGAGAGTCGTGTAGGTTGATGGTCATTCACACAGCCAGCAGGAAACAATAAAACATGAAACCAAGTGATGGAATACTCTGCCACTTAGATTCAGTTGCTGGATCTCTTAGTACAACGAGGCAATAAAATAAACTTACATGGAAAAATTTGAGCCTTAGCGTCGTCGTTTGTCAGAAAGATATTAATATGCTGGATTTTTGCATTTATTTTGAAATCCTTCATTTTATTCTTAATACAAAAGAACGAATACTTACAATATTTGACAACGGCAATATTCACAGGAGCTCTGGCTGTATAGAGAAAGGAAGGATGATCTTTACAGCTTTTTTTCCTTACAGGTTCTTCGTCCGCCATCTTGGATTATGAAACAGAACGACGACGATTATTGTGTTCAGCGGTCAGTATCTCTGAAGCAACCCCACCGTACCCCCCTCAAATAAAATGCAAAAACTTTATGGGGTAAAAAAAATTATATTTGGATTTAACAGCTTCTTAATCAGAAAAGAAAAATTATTTAATACTTTTCGTGAAATTTAATTAAGCCAGCCGAGTTGAGCTTTCCCAAAACGACACAGGAAGCCAATTGACATAAAAATGATACGAACTGACCAGAAGCAAATTTGTTTACTTTTTTACCACAACCAATCGTTAACCCATCTTTTGAGAGGAAACTATATATTTACTAAACTCATGGTCCTTAGAGTTCCACCGGGAAAGGAGAAGAGGCTTGGGCCGGCCTGGGCTGCCTGTGGTACAACCGTGACAATGACCCATAGTGCATCTCGGTCACCATAAAGCCAAAGAATGGAGGACTTGTAGCTTTGGAATGTTAAGATAATCTTGCTGTCCTAACGGTAAGAAAAGCTTAAAACGACATTTATGCCTTTAAAATATTGATATTAAAGCTTTTCGCTTTGTCTTATAAAAATATTTACTTCCAATTTTGTGTATTTCGCTTGAAATTGGGGATGACTTTTCGCTGCTGGGCAGTTCAGGCACTTCAAAGGTGACTAGGAAAAATCATAAAACATATATTATTGCTTTTAATGGTATATCTTTTCCAATAACTCATGACATTGTATTTCATTTGCATTTTAGTTATTTGTGTTGTTTTCTTCGAGTTTATATCTGTTCATTCTGTTCATGTTCTATAAACAATTGGACAACAATTGACAAGACAAAGACAAAACAATGCATACAATATAAAACCATAGTTAACTATGATAAAACAATACACTACTATATAATATATGCATTGTATTCGTCTAGAACATGAACTTATTACTGAAAAAGTGACCTTGATGGTAGATCTAACAAGAGAAGCTAATGAGGAATGCTTTGTCATCAATCTACTAACATGACTACAAAATAACTGCACCCCACAATTTTTTCCAATTATTTCTTCCTTCTAATAAACATTAAAATAATCTTAATTTTTTAATAATCTTTTAATCTTAACTCATTTCCATTTTCCCCTGATATAGGATAAAGAACAATGGAAACAAGTGTAGCTGGATGTACTAATTTTGTAAGTATTCCAAGTTATTCTGTATTTTGCTCATTATTTTGTTATGTAATGTTGAAATGAATATATTGATTAAAAATGTCCCTCTTGTATTGAATGTCTGTGAAATTTTGCATAAATGTTGTTGAATTAAAAAAAATGTATCAAATACTTGAAAACATGTCATAAATGACAGATGTCTGATTTGTATTGAAAATATTGAATACTGACTGACTGACTGACTGACCGACCGACTGACTGAATGACTGAATGACTGACTGACTGA